AGGATGATGATGATGATGATAATGAGGATGATGATGATGAGGATGATGATGAGGATGATAATGAGGATGATGATGATGAGGATGATGATGATGATGATAATGAGGATGACGATGATGAGGATGATGATGAGGATGATAATGAGGATGATGATGATGAGGATGATGATGATGATGATGATAATGATGATGATGATGATGAGGATGATGATGATGATGATGATGGACAATAAGAATATATTAATACTATATTCAATTGAATATTTGTAAATTGTCTCGATGACGATCGATTTTGTATTTAATTGCAAATGTAAGTATGGGTATATAATTAGTAATAAGAAAAGGACCCATTCCAAGACCAATAACGCGGTCACAATTGGAACAAGTACAAGAAGACACAAGAAAAAAGAACCCCAAAAACTCAACCAAGGATTGGGCCCCAGTTTGCAAATTTCAATTGCGTGTTAGATCAATATTATGGGGGTTTTGTGGGGGGGGGGGGTTGTTTTTTCTTTTTAAATTCTAACCAAACTGAGGGAAGCTCAAAATGTTTTGGCTTGTAAAAAATCAGCAATAGCGTGTATTTGTGTATTGAAGAACGTATTCATTATGCAAAAATGACATTGTCACGTAAAGTTTAACAAGGGGAATGTGGAGATTATTCAAATGGTATGCTCCCGATGTTGACTATCTCCTCTCCTTACAAACTTGAGTATGCCGCAGGAAGTTTTGGACAAACCTGTGACATGTTTCTATCTTGATTTTTTACACCTCACGATCAACACTAAGTTTCAATTTTATTCAGTCAAATTTTTACGGTTTTGTTCCGTAGACTCTGTCAGTAAAACAAACACAAACAAACAAACAAACAAACAAACAAACAAACAAACAAACAATGAAACCAACAAAGGAAATAATCGAGGGGCCAGAATTGGTTCAAAGAAAGCATGGTTCTAAATACGTTCCAGAAAGGATGAAATGCCTTGCGCAATCGAGAAAGCGATTTTTCTAGTGTACCTTCTTTTTAAAGAAAATTCAAACTAGTTTTACCCGATTTTCCTTCCTTCTTTTTGGAGTTTCTGATAGTAAACCATGAAAGTTATGAACACAGTAATTCCATCGTGCTATTCCATCGTTTTTCTCCCTCATATCCCCTCCCTGGCGCTCTCCGTAAGCTCAGCTGGTAACACAACGGGTGTTCTCGAACTTGGGTCGTTTTGTGGAGTTTTCAAGACTCTAAACCCATTTAATTCGGAGCTATCGGAGATGGACGTTTGCTTCCCTCAGTGTTGACTGAAAGGGGTGTAAAACGAATACGCTTACTTATTCTTTCTTCTACCCTTCTTCCACCCCCAACCACCTCTCCACCCCCAACCACCTCTCCACCCCC